CAACGTCACAGTGAAAATAGAGAATCCATGAAGACTAAGATAGAAAGCACATTAAGTAGATGCACGAGCGCCACTGCTTACGACGCTCAGCCATATCACTCCTTATCCTTAGCCATTGATTACAATGATTCCGATTTCCCCATCCAGTAAGACTAGCGCGACTTATGTGGGTAAGTCTCATACCCTCACACCAGGCCATGGTTTGGCGACTCAGCCTTCTTTTGCCTATCTACTGTCTCGGTGAACACCATGCGCTGATCCTCAAACGGAAGAAGTACAATCATATTTTCAAGCACTGAGGACAGAAAAAGCGTTAGAACGTGAGGGGATTCTCCGACATTCCGCTTTCATCATTAGGCGAGGTGTGATAACCTCGTGGGCTATATTGTTGAATTATTGAACAAAACCTGGTGGCAGGAACGAATTTCAATATATTCGAGCGAATCAGTGATCCTTACAATTTTCAAGAGAGAATCTCTCAACTACTGTGCAAAATAAGGCTGGACAATTTTAACTCCGACCGTCGTCAAAGTATAAGCCCCAGTCATGCTTCGAAATCTGACGCCTTCAAGAGACCAATATCTGTGAACAAAAGGTCGGATGACGACCTGGTAGCAAATGTATTGATGAAGTTTTTACGTTGCGTCATAAACATCAAAGATGGCAGTGTTCCTTGATCTGAAAAGAGCTTCCGACTCATCTGATTGCGAGGATGTCTCTGGTTACGTTTTTCGCAAAATAAGGCCCTAGAAGTGTTAACTTACTAAGGCCAGTAAACTTACATACTTCTTCTTCGTCAAGGATGTCCTATTTCACCATTTCTGTTCAATTTCGTCGTATACGAAATACTGGAGGGTGCACTAACCGGACTCCATGTTTTGGATTGAACGGGCTGCTGGGAAAAGGCCTGTTTGTACGAATTTACAGGGGACGCGCAAAGCGTGCTGTTGCTCCCTCCACTGGGTGTGCGCATCGGACCTTCAAAGGACAGAACAGTATCCCGGTTCGGAACTAGGTCATTGATTAGTTACAGTCGATTGCTTTTCCTACCTAGAGTCTTCCGTGACCAATGAAGGTGGCACAGTGAAAAAATAATCGCATGCATTTCTAAGACCCCAGTAGTGTACGAAGGGCGTGGACCGACGTTTCATTGCGGTTGACACGCAATTTACATTATGCCACTGTTTAGTCAATTCTGCTTTATATTTTTCAGACCCGGAGAAGATATCTTTTACTTAAAGGTTTTCGATAACCGATGGTCCCAGCTGGGTGGGAGAGTATTAGTCACTTAGAAGTAAACCGTCGTTTGTTAGTTTATCAGGTAGAAATTCGACAGCATATCGAATTCAGATCAACGGGCTTCGCTGATTATGACATGTATTGTGCATGCTCAGTTGTCGTCCCTCATACTGCGCGTTACTCGTTGTTAGCACTCAGAAGTGGAGGAAACTAAGCGATCAACAGAGGAGGTATGAAACGGTGCACAGAGCGATTAGATACAATCGGTGTTTCTCGCCTCACAGGGCTGCATCCATCAGAATCTGCAATTGGTTGGTCGGAGAGAGTGAAAGACGTAGCAGCGGTGTTCCTCTTGCCATTTTTATCCGGTCAAAATGCTTGAAACGCGTGTGTGCACAGTTCGACTGAGTGTTTTTACCGTTGAGTTCCACCTACCTTTCCTTTGCCGTAAAACAGGTCCGCTTGCCATAAACCTTATGCATTTGCACTCTATGTTTATTATTAGTTTGGCAGCTATTAATGAATTACACTTCAATTGTGCGATGATGATGAGAAGAGCAAATATATCAGTGAACGCGATCACACTGACATATTACGTCATTTGTACAACCGTTCTCGTCGCCCCAGTGTTCTTAGATCTAAATCACTGTACATGGGTGGTTTTATCATCCTAGAGAGGGTGGGATAGGGAGGGAATGCAACCACATTCAGTGGATCGAGATCAAGTGAAGAGATGGACTAGACATTCCGCATAAGGTAGCAGACGCAAAGAAGTATAGATATGTTTATAAATAATGACAAAAACATAACTCCCTCCCGGTTGAAACACAGAAGAGAGAACGTTGGCCTGCACAAGCACATGCGATAATGCCAAAGAGAAGGTCCACCTAAGGAGAGACAGAAGAAATGTTCAGCAAGGTAATTCATGTAACGGTTGAATGAGAGAGCCCACAACAGGAAGGTTCTCGGTAGAAGAGGGAAAATTCGAGTAGATTTCACGACTTGTGTGCACGTGATGGAGATAGGTAGAGAAAAGAACTGACCATAAACCGGTCTGATGTTGGCACATGTGTGGGAAGAGAGGGGGGAGTGGATAAGACGTGAAAAAACAACGTGGGGGTAGAAACGTCATTTCAGTTTAGACAGAGTAACCTCCCATAAACCCTAATGCTTATGTGACNTATGTGACCTGGCAACGGATTTGCAGAAATGGGCTAAACAACAAGATGATGAACGGCAGTGTGTGATAAGATGACGAAAGAAAATCGGTACAATCTTCATTAAGCGGTGACGTGAACACGATTAGTACAATGCCGTGTTTCGAGGTTAAGAAGTAACAAATAATAGCCAAAAGTACAAGCGAGGGTAAAAACGAATGATTCCTAGACATAAAATGAACAAATGCGGATGAATGATCATATCTACACGATTTTTCATTGTTACCGTTGTTGTGTTGGTGGTGGTTGTCCATGTTCAAAAGGAGGCTAAAGACAGGGACCCATGCGTTCTGTCTTTACAGAACAGAGGTCATCGGTAAATGCTCTGCCTGCGGTTTAGGTTTTAGGAGCTAAGAGTTAAATTTAACTGATCACCGGCATATCAAATTCAATTCTGGATCGCTGGTACAACATCGTCGATTAGCATTGGATTCCACAAACCGATCACGTTTCATTCGATCGATTTTACGACGAGATCGACGTGAGCGTGCCAAAGACAGAAATACTACCCCCGATTGTCCAAAAGCCGAGCTGATCATGGAGGAAGAACGACTCGGAGAGCTCATACAACTGGGCATAATATAGGGAAGTAGCTCCGGTGGAATGAGGCTACGAACCCGAGCGGCACGTCGTTGCAGTCGTGTTAATCCGGGACTGACACCAGATCGCTTCGCAGCTGGGGGATCACCTGACACTTGATTATTTTGATGCTCCGGTGAAGGTGAGGTCGAGATTCGAGGCCGTCGACTTTCTCGACGAACAGCCGGCTCGAGGAGACCAAGTTGTTCGCATATGGGCTCAGGCATTCTGTGAGATATTCAAAAAATGTGACGGAATCATTTCACAGGTTTTATACCAAATGATAATGCATGCTGACAGGTCATAGAAACACGGGATAAGGAATAACTCACATATACAAGTAAAGAAATGCGCATGAAATCTGTGAATAACATAACTAGAGGTACTAAACTAACCATATTTTCAAACCCACGGAATACTAACTGGAGTATGCACTGGAGTCAACTTTATTGGGTGGAGACACTTGCCCTATCCATGGAGATCAAGATGGGAAGAGCGATACATCGTGAAAGTTAACGATGCAGGTGAAGATAGAATGTGTTGAACTGTACATTTGAAGTGAACATTATATGTCCCCATTCTTCTGGCTTAGAGGTACAGATGCTCACAGCTGTAGAAAGCAAAGAGCATGGCACCCAATCGACGGCAAGTGCCGTTTTCTTTTCCTCTTCAGATTGAGGGTGTGTGCGTAGACCATGATGACGAAATTAGTCTTCCGTCCGCTGCGAAAAAATTACTTTCTGACTTTGTTTGTAATCTGCCTCAAGTATCAACCTTACACGGCTGTTCGACAGTACGGATTGAAGACGACATCCGAAGAAAATTCAACGGGTAGTTCTACGCGATACCAGAGTCACCTGATTGGCACAACGGAACCACGCCTTCCAGAGGGAGGGTCTGGAGTGAGCATGAAGTTTTAAGGATGTCCAGTCAACTCGATAACGCAAACTAGTATCTTACTCATTTTTCATCAGGTATGCTAAGAACCACGCGCGAGTTATTTATACCAAACACATTCTCACTTTAAAATGTTCGCAGTAATTGCCCGACCAGAACGAACGATGAACGGATGCAACAAACATTCATACAGCTCTTGATCGAATGAAACCACATACACCGATCGCAGTAGACAATGGAAATGTACCAGACAGAACTTACGTTGTTTGAACTGCATCAGGTACCAATAAAAATGGAACCGATTCTTTCTCTGGACCAGCTTTTGTGTTTTCTCCGCAAATATCAGAGTCAGATGACATATCTGAGGACGATGATGAGCGTAGAAAAGACGCGCGATATGCATCCGCCGTCACATTGCTATTCAGGCATGTTGCACTCAATGAACGGGGTCGAATAAGCAAACATCCGAGTTGAGCACCAGCGGAGTGATCATCGAGGCCCATTTCCCAAGGCACTGTGCATCCACGGTAAATAAAATGCGTAAAGAGAGAGGGTGAGTGAATGCCCTGGTGGGATGAGTACAGTTAAAAACAACGAGTAATGATTTGAACATTTCAGACGGGGCTCAGTGACAAAACGGTGAATAACCGGTTCTCGCAGCTCCGATTGAAATACTTCGCTTTCGCCAGTTAAAATAATGTGTTTGCAATTGCTTTAGTCCAGATGGAGGTAAAATATTGTGATCTAACTATCATAGCGCAACTCGGAATTCAGTCGAGCAACAGTGAATCTATGTACCACTCAGGATAGATGATGATGGTAGCAGTAACATCAGTAGCGTTATGGATCCAAATGTTCAGTGCCCAAATAAAGAACCGTTCATTGAAGGAAAGATATGAGTAGATTTTACAAAGAACAAAGCATCTCATTTGGAACAGAGCAATTACGCGTTCATGGGACATTCTGGATCAGTGGTCAAACGTTCGCATCTCCTGCTGCTGCAATATTGAATCCAAAATTCTGCTTCGGGATAAGTTGTTCACTGATGAATATCGTGAGAATCTGCTGACAACTTATTCATGCGTGCATGGAATATGCTACTCACATATGTGAGTAGTATTCACTTATTAAGGTCACAACTTTTAAGTGATGTTCAGTTGTCATGATTCACCGCATAACCCAATGTGCAGTCGTATCTTCCATCGAGTTCTTGTGTTCCCGGAAGCCGTAAATACAGCCCTTACTAAAATGTATGAAATAGGGTATTTTTCGCTCATCTAGACGAGCCGTTATTGGTTCATCGACTCAGTCAAATCCTCGGATACTAACTATGCGAGAACAAGAATTTTTCTAGGGACTTTTCAGTAGATCCCAAAGAAAATAGTTCTTCTATCAGGAGGTATAAATCATGCTCGCCATCATTTGACCGGTTTACCAAGCCTATGAGACGAGAGCACTGTAACCGATGATCAAGTTATTCATATCGACGGAAAGACCAGGGTTGCGAGATTCTCACAGGTACTGAATGGTCATGTAATTGGCTGGAAGGTGTTGACCAGGCGGCACGGTGTATTAACTCAGCGGTCCCGACATCACACAATTTCATCACCCCCAACCCAGACAATTTGATTTCTCTGGAAACCATTTTGCTTTCCACTCTTTGCGAAAACTAGACAGATAACTGTCTATTCCAGTAAAGCGTGTATACCATCAGTGATCAATAATATTTTTGTCATGATGTGCGCAAGAGTGCGATAAAATAGAAAGCTCTATGATCAACTGCTTAGAACGCACATTACGTACCATGAAACCCATTCTCGTTGTGCTGCGTATTCAATCGGGCCACAGCACCATTCAAATGTTGTCCATAGCGTGGAGCGAATTCATCCAGCTCCTCCTCATCATCCTCATCGAATTGCGATGTGACGGTTGTCATGGTCTCACTGTTCAACATACTCGCTCCGCCGACTCCAACCCCGATCGCACCCGGGTTGGACTGATCACGGAATGAGGTTTGACGAGAGCACGGATTACTCACAGTGACATCCATGGGTAGAAGAAATAAATGTGGTCTGGCTAAACTCAACGGTTTCTGGCCTGGATTCGGTGATGCGACCGATCCTGTGGAATGGAGAACAGCACGATGGGAACAATATGAGCATCGACCTAGAAATGATTCTCAGTGGGGCTGAATCAACTCATATCAATAAAACATACCATTCAAGCGCATCCGGTGGATGAACAGTATGGAGTAACTGACTGTGAAGTAATGAATGAAGCGACCGAATATCAACGACTGCTAATTGTTGAGTTTATTATCACATTAAATCGAGTTGGTTTAGCAAATGTGCACCGAGTGAATATAATCTGTTCATGCATTCTGGTTTTATTATTCGAATCCTGTCAACCCGCTCCACTAACTCGCTTGTGGATCCGCATCGATTTCAATCATGGGCTGTAAACCCCTTTATTCGTATACTGCACATATCGAATCCGTCAAAATAAAATCCTATGTAGTTCGACTTAACACCCTTCATCTTTACACACAATCCTCAGTTCATTCAATCAGTGAAACAACTAGCTGTATCTAAAAATCCACACGGGGACCATCCATGCAATACCCCGCAGGCTAGTAGAGGTGTCATTTTATTCGTCACACTTCTCTTAGGTTTGATTACAAAAAAGAAATGTATTCCTACTGAACTGGAAAGAACGGATTTTCACATTCGATTACCGTGGCACACGTCACCCACAGTTGTATCATGGGGTGCGGGTGGACATGTCACAATTTATCGATCCGTCTCCGTCATATGGACATTGCCTACCCGTTCTCTGGAAGATCATCGTCGTTTTCTCTCCCCCTCTTATCTTACTGACGCGCGCTCGCGCATACTCATCACACTGTGGTAGTCGATCGGGCCCGTAGGGCTGCGCGTATGTGTCTCTCCGCCTGTTGGATGAATGAATACTCGTGACTCACGCTGTCCAGTAAAGTTCTAACATTTGACCATATGCCAATTACAGCACAAGATGTCCAAAAATGGAGGTGACATAAGAATGAGACCCCGACTCCGGTAGACTTTGGCATTGAAAATTTCGCAAAACCAAACGGAAAAACAAGCTGAGTAATCGGTATTCCGATTTCGCGACAGAAAAATTCAACCGAACCGGAAGAATGTCATGGAGCATGTGATGTACCCCAGTTGTTGGGCCTCTTACGGTGATCTTCACAAATACCACGAAGATACATGCAATGCAATGAGCAATGTGAGGGATGGATGTAAACA